TGTCATTTGTATTTAAATGATTGAGTAAATATTGAATCATCGAAATGTAATTATATTTTTAGATGATATCGCAGAAGTTTCTGCATTTAATTTGATGTTGTACTTTCATCGTTATTATAAAGTGTATTGTTCCACACGACGCATTTAAACCAGTATCACGATCGTAATTTTAAGTATCCAATAAAATAAATTGAAGACTCGGCTGGTAATAAATCGTCCAACAATCATCGACATCACATAATAGCCTGTGCAGTGTGCCATAAAATGCTCACTTCCTTCGGTTCTCCTGTTAACACTGTTACCGATACTCGGGTCGCGTCAAAATTGTTTTATTTTCCTATGATAAATCACTCTCGTGCGATGCTCATCGCCGTGTTTCATAACGTCTTTATTTGTATTTTTATAACTTCGTGTCAATTGTCAAAAACAAGAAAGATAAAAGTTGTATGAAATAAAGTATCGTCTTCGTTAACGATGGGTTCGTCAACTTTTTGTATCAAAGAGTTTAATACCTTTCGCATTAAATAATGTGATATACTTACGAAATTGTCATATTTGCAAACAAATTCTTTCTTTATCGACAGAACATCTGTAGCTGTACATTAAAGAACATTCGAAAATTATTTAAAACAATAGAAAATAACTTCTATCTCTGTTTAGAGATAGATTTCACGGTATATTTAAGCAATTATTTCCAAGCAGTTTATTTCCCCGACATTCCTATAAATATAATACTCAAACTTTGGAGCTATTTAACAAAATGACAAAATAACTTCTATCCAATTAATATGATAACAATGTGAATTATATACGGCTGTAATATGAATTGTAAAAATTTTGAATTGTAAACTGTAACACGACTAGCCAGTCAAGTGAACAGCTGAAAATCTAGACAGCCGTTGTAGAATCGCAAATATCCTAATCACTTTGATAACTGACAGCTTGACAAGGCAGCAGTGTTGGTCAACGAAAGGATTAAGCTCCAAGGAAGAACGGTTCCCGTGTCCATAAATTACTCCTGTTACTATACCATGGCCTTACCACGTACCTACCTCTGTTTACTGAATGAAAATATTACTGGAAATATTTACCGGATGAAAACATTTGATCCTATTAGATAAAATGACATACATGCAGGCTTCGAACTGAAACAACTACAGGTGCAAGAACTATAACTAGAACAACTGTTCGAAAAAAACTGATTTTCGATATCGTAATGTCAACTTATTTGTTGCGATGTATATTCGTTGTTGAAAGCGAATTTTGAAAAAATTGAATTAAATTACAAATTAATTTAATTTTAATTAACACGCAACTACTATATATATGTACGTGTACGTCGAGATTGTGTCGAGAAAAGTGTACATTTCCACTTCTCATTCTTTTTTCCAGGTAGCATGGTTGCGAGTGGACACACAGACAATTCTAACGATAGCAAATCACGTAATTACGAAGAATCATAGGATCGGAGTAACGCATACCGAGCGGAAAACGTGGCATCTGCACATACGCGACGTGAGCGAATCCGATCGAGGTGCCTACATGTGTCAAATAAACACCGATCCCATGAAGAGTCAGACTGGTTACTTGGATGTTGTAGGTTGGTTGTTTACGAGTATAATTTACTATAGTCAACTGTCAGTGTGTGTCGTCAAATTAAGTTCAGGCTGGCAACAAGCTATTCAACGCAAGCAGTTTTTAAACTTTCTTTAAAATAATAAATGGAGCACTATTGTCATCAGTATTGTTGTACCTGGTAGATTAACTCTTCAAGTGCTCACTAAGTTTAATACCGAATGAGAGGCATGTAACAAATCAAGAATTGTTAATGTATTTATCCATGCAGAGTCTATGTTACTCGATCACTTTGAATATAATAGTTGTTTCTGGAAATATGGAAAAACTTCGTTAATAAAAGAGTTCAGAAAAGATCACGATAGAACATGATAGTAATAGTCTTTTTCTTTTTTTAGTGGTTTTGAGATCACTTCAAGATTGCCTCCACTCTTTTCAAGTAGAACGATATATTTTTTTTCTCCATTAATCAATGTCTTAATTTTGTGAAATTTGTCATATAAAAGGTAAAAATAGTATTTTTTTGTTTATATCGTCCTTGTCTTTCATAAAATTGAATCTAAAATATGGAGTATATCAAGTTGTATCGATTAATGGAGCAAAAAATATGGCGTCCCATTTAAAAAAGTGGAGGTGATCTTGAAATAAATTACTGTCATATTATGACTCCCTCTGTACTAAACAATTTCTCTAAATCTTCAAAGAAACAACGGAGATAATCTATATGCAACTTTTAATATATTTGAATCACACAACAAGTAAACTAGTAATTTAAAAAAAAAAAATTTCGGATTATCTGTACGATACTCTAGTACGGGCTAAACACTCAAAGGATGAAAAATAAATAGAAGAGATAAATATGTACATAGAATGAATAGAGAGTGGACAAAATATTCCGAGTTATCGATCAGTAATTAAATGGACGTAAAGCATCGAATAATTTCGCGCGATGAAATTATTGACAAACATAATACAGCGAGGATGCTAATGCTCTAATTCGATCAAAGCGACGCGTTTGTTTGCCGCGCGACGTTAAAACTTTCGTTTG